AAGGTAATTTTATTTTATTTTTTTCTCTTTCTTTCTATAATCCCATTGTCCTCTTCTGCCGGAAGCGAAGACCAACACCACAACTCGGCTAACATTTTACGGCCTGAAATTAATGTCGAAACCAATTTCACATTCCCGAACCCGAGACTAAAGAGCGCGTATATCGCCCTCAAGGCATGGAAAAAGGCCATATACTCCGATCCATTGAACTTCACCGCAACTTGGGTTGGGCACGATGTTTGCGCATACAATGGTGTCTTTTGCGCGAAAGCCCTCGATAATAACAACCTCACAGTAGTTGCAGGCATTGACTTAAACCATGGGGACATCGCAGGCCATCTCCCCTGTGAAATCGAGTACTTAGTCGACATTAGCCTTCTCCATCTGAATTCCAACCGATTCTGTGGGATAATTCCCGAGGGCATTAAAAAGCTCAAACTCCTATACGAGCTCGACGTAAGCAACAATCGATTTGTGGGTCCTTTCCCGAAGCCTATTCTCGAGCTCCCGGAATTAAAATACCTCGACTTGAGGTTCAATGATTTCGAAGGCGAGTTGCCGTGCGAGCTTTTCAACAAGCCACTCGACGCTATTTTCCTCAACGACAATCGATTCCAATCAACGATACCCGAGAATCTCGGCAACTCGCCGGCCTCGGTGGTGGTGATCGCCAACAACAACATAACCGGATGCATTCCGGCGAGCATCGGAAAAATGGCCGGAAAATTAGACGAGTTGATTTTCTCCGGCAATGATCTGTCCGGATGCTTGCCGGAGGAGATCACGTTATTGAACACGACGACCGTTTTCGACATTAGCGACAACGAGTTCGTGGGGGATTTGCCCGTTGGGTTAGAGTATCTGCAGAGCTTGGAGGTCGTTAATATCGCGGCTAATAAGCTTCGAAGCAAGGTTCCGGACACGATTTGCACGTTGCCGAGTTTAAAGAATTTTACATTCTCGTTTAACTATTTTGATGACAAGGATGAGGAGTGTGACGCGAGTGCATTGCCCGGGGTTATTTTTGATGAGGAGGAGAATTGTTTTTCCGGGGAGAAAAAGCAGAGGTCGGAAAAGGAGTGCAGATTAGAGTTGAGTAAGAAGATTGATTGTAGCAAGACGGGATGCAGGGGCGGGGACAAGGGTAGCTCACCAAAACCAAAGCCAGAACCAACACATCCTGACCCTCCATCTCGAGCTTCGTCTCCAAAGGCGCAACCTCCTAAGGCCAGCACACCTTTAGCCCCCCCAAAGGAACAATCTCCTAAAGCAGAAGCACCAAAGATCGAAGAAGTACCTTCTCTTCCAAAGGCACAATCTCCTACAACAGATGTACCTCCTGCTCCAAAGGCTCAACCTCCTCAAACCCCGAAGGCACAACCTCCTAAGGTAAACGTACCAACTGTCCCAAAGGTACAACCTCCTAAAGCAGATTTACATCCAACTCCAAAGGCACAACCTCCAATTGCTGACATACCACCGATTACAAAAGCACAACCTCCTAAGTCTAAAGTACCTCCTCCAGTCCCAGAGGAACAACCTCCAAAAACTAATGTACCATTGCCACCAAAGGTACAATCTCCAAAGGCTGCTGTACCTCCCCCAACTTTGACACCACCAAAAGTAGTAAGCCCTCCTCATATTCCAACCCCATCGGCTTCAAATCTACAACCCCCAAAATATTCTAGCCCTCCGTCACCAGTACAATCAGTCACCCCACAATCACCATCCTCAACCATTCATTTATCACCACAATTACCATTCGACCACTCATCTCCACCACCACTTATTTCTTTGCAACCACCTTCATCACCACATCACGTGTTCTCTCCGCCACATGTCCAATCACCACAACTACTCTCTCCGCCACCGCCAGTTTTTTCACCACCACCTCCAATCCGCTCTCCGCCACCTCCAATCCACTCTCCGCCACCGCCAGTTTTTTCACCACCACCTCCAATCCGCTCTCCGCCTCCTCCAATCCACTCTCCGCCACCGCCAGTTGTTTCCCCACCACCACCAGTACACTCTCCGCCGCCACCAATCAATTTCCCGCCGCCGCCGCCACCTTCTTTATCACCACCGCCTTTTGTTTTCCCTCCGATGGTACTCCCACCTATTTTGGGTGCCCATTACGCATCTCCGCCACCACCAGCTATTCCAGGCTATTGATTAATCAACGAGTATTATATGCATTCTTTAGTGAGTCCGCAGAACTATCTAAACGAGTTTGGGTGTTTAAATTTTTCCAAATTTATCCTCAGCGCATACTAAATGTAACTCATTGACTTTTTGACTATATGCAGCCATGTATCATTACTAACGCCAATATTGTAAACAATACCAATATATGGATTTCATTTCTATTGTTTTATTATTTATCTATACTTATATAATAAGGTGTACCATTTACGAAATTCAGTAAGTTGAAAAGTCAATGCAATAAATGCATTACTATTTTGAGCAACATAATATAATATCATATTTATACTTATATAAAAGGAGATTCTATTTACTACATTTACTATCCAGAAAAGTCAACTATATTAAATGTCATTACTATTTTGGTATTATAATATTTTATTTATTTAATTGATTTATTTATTTATTTTGTTTTAAAAAGGTAAGTATAATAAAAAGATTTTAATAATAAAAAAATTAAATATCAAATAAAAATGTACACTTTGACTTATTTGATTATATTTGGTATTTGATTATACCAAATATATTCCTATTTAGTATAGACATTAAATACTTACTAAAGTATTTATTTGTTTTATTTGTCAAAGTTAAGTATAGATTTGTTTATATTATCAAATCATAAAAAAATATTAAATCCATATTGTAAAAAAAAAAAATCATATAATTTTATAACAATTCTACTACACTATTTAACAATATTCCTTTTTTATTATATAATAAAATAATAATTAAATATTATATGATGAACAACAATAAGTAAAACTGTTACTTTCTCTTATATTAAGGGATAAATTTATATGCTAAAATTAAATTTTTATTAGTATAAATGTTTTAGTGAGATAATATATTAATTATTTTACAAGCTAGCCCTAACATGCTCATATTTAATGTTTTAAAAGATGTAGAAAAAAACTTATAATAATTCTATTATTTTTTAGACTTAAACATTGAATAAAAGAGGTAAAAATTCCTAATTTCTTAGACTTAAACGTTGATTAACACCATAGATTGAGAGTCTATATTTAGTAAAATTCCTAATTGTAATAAAAAAATTAATTTTTACTATATTTTAGAATATTTTTAAATTCATTATACAAAAATGAAAAAAAAAAATACAATGAAAAAAGCAAGTCAGCTATATATTGATTTGTTGTACTCCTCAAATCACATTCACAATTTGGCTACAAGGAAAGAAAATTCATTGATTAAAATATTATTTTGTCAGTAGCCTTAATGTACAAGAGACTTTAAGACTCCACTTGAATATTATAAAACTTTTATTGAACATTGTACAATTTTCTTGCGTGTTATAAACTTTTATTAAATATTACATATTATAATATAACATTCTCCAAATAAATATATCCCGTGCTTCGCACGGGTCACGTACTATATATATCCCGTACATTTTTCTTTATTCATGTATATAATTAGAAGTCTGAATAAATAGTCTTAAAATTGTGCACCCCGTGCATTGTATGGGCTCTGTACTAGTTAGTACTTAACTCGTAACAAAGATATTAAAGTCATTGCCTAAAATACAATAGAGTTGAATTATCTATTTTCTACATATTTTCCGCCTCTTTTAATGACAGTTCTGTTTATTAGCCATAACGTTAAACCTAAGCTTGTTAGTGTTAGCTTCTTAATTAATAAATATATTATTTAACTAACCCGATTATACTAATATAAATTTATTTTTGATACATATGTTTATTCATTGATATAAGAAAAAATATTTTTACTTATTTTTGTTCACAATATAATATTTATTTATTATTTTATTAAAAAAAATTGTCGTGTAATATCATTATAATTATTTATAAAATATATAGAAACAATCTTCTTCTTCTTCTTCTTTTATTTTATTTAATAAAAAATACTTAATGTACGTTAATATTATATATTAATGTAATTAATTTAAATTATGCAAATAATTTTAAAATATAATATTGTATATAACTATTGTATAAAAATTACACACACATATTTTTTAGAATTTAAATTCCTATAAATATTTTAGGATGGAAATGCAATATTTATGAAAAAAAAAAAAACTAATAATATGGTTTGAACTTAAAATATGTTTCATGTTTATCTTGACAAAAATGTTATCAACATTAATCACAGGAAATCAATTTTGTAATTTATTATAATGCCATTATAATCATTAAAGTCCTTCAATCAAGTTCTAATTTCAACTAGTATTCGATAGTGTGTAGATGTAAAAATACAAATAAAATTTTATATTTTATATGTGTATGTAATATTTAAATCATGAGTTATATAATATGCATATCACATTCCATAGATTTTAGCAGTAGTAAAAGTGAAAGATATAAATGTAAACTATTTAATTTAAATATTAATATTTATATTGATTGTGCTAATGTAATTTTGCAATCTTTGCTAATTATAATTAATTAACTAGATAAAATAATATTAAAATTATTATTATAGCAATTGTGTACGAAATTTTGAGAGGTTTGATTATTCCATGAAAAATATTTAATTGGTTTAATAAAAACCTTGCTTAATGAATTAAAATAACAATTTGTAATAAATGGTTTGAATAGTAGGTTTAGGACAAAATAATATTTAATGTGACTTTATGATTAGTTATTAGTGATTATTACGTAAAAAAATTAATATAATTACTTGATGAAGACAAAACATAACGAAAAAGAAAGGGGAAACGAAAGCAATAGTCATAATTGTTGTCGCCAATAATTATATATATATATATATATATATATATATATATAAGTATGATCATATGAGAAATGGTCATATGAAATAAATAATAATGAATTTTAGCCATTGGATGTGATATATCAACGCTCTAGGGTCGGTCAAAGAATCCAGTTTTAGTTAACACGCGGTATATCACGCGGGATATTTTAGTCATTGTGTAGAATGCACTATTGTTACGATAACGTACAATATGGTTGGCACTAAAGTGCAGCTTGTCTAAGACTATTGTGTAGTGTGCAGGTCGGACATTTTTAATGTGCAAATTGAAATGTGAGATTGTGCAATGTACTGGATATTGTTGTGCAATTATTAATTTATTTTGTTAAATTATAAATTTGACCCATGAAATAAATTATACAATAGTAATGGTCTTATCTGGAATGACTAGTTGGTGAAGCAAGTCTTTAACTCTGTGGATGGCAAAGCTATACTGAAAATTTCCTCCCTGAATCCAAGAAAAATGGACAGAAGTTACTGGGGTCTTGGGAACAAAGGAGCTTTTTCTGTCTCTTCCTCCTATACATTTATCATCAACAGGAAAGTACACAGTTTGGATATACCAGAAAGTAGCTCAAGCAAGAGCACTATAGTAGCTGCAAGATCCAGAAGCTGGAAGCTGAGAATTCACAACAAGATGAAACACTTCTTATGGAAGTGCTACTTAGGCACTCTCCCTATCAAGATGAATCTGCCAAAGAAGGGTATGAATGTTGACACAATATGCCAAAGTTGTGGTGAGGCTCTTGAAACTATAGAGCATATCTTCTTTCATTGTGAGAGGGCAAAAAAGCTATGGAATATAGGGCCTGTTTTGTGGGATGGTATCGGCATGGCTACTAACTGGTTTGACACATGGTGGTGGAAAATATGCACAATTGGACACATTGAGGTTGCGGAGGAAAGGATTCAGCTCACTACATATTTGCTCTAGTGGCTATGGAAGTCAAAGAATCTGAGGATGTTCAAGGGAACTAACATGCCGGTTAGGGTGGTGGTTAAAGCTGCAGTAAAACACTGGCTAGAGTTCACTTCTGTGTTGTCTTAGTTTTGTTGTTAGTTGGTTTGTTTGTTGTCTTTGTACTGTTTACTCTTTTAGTTTTCTATTTTGGCTGCAGTGTAGTTTGGAGGGGTAGTCTTATGCAGTGGTTAAGAGACTCCTCCAATTGGTAGTTAGTTGGTTTGTTGTTAGTCCGTTTGGCGGGGTTATAGGCCATTTGTAGCGTGTCCTCCAAATTTTATGTTTCGGCTCTTGGCCGTTGTTTGTACTCGAACGTTGTTCATCTCGAGTTTTATAATACCTCTATCGTTCCCGAAAAAATTAAATAATAAAAAATAAAACTAAATTTTAATATATTGAAATTTATAAAATTCAATTAGGGCCCTAGACTTATCAAATTATAAAAAAAAAAAACTCTAACCCTAAATTTTGTTCACGTCTGTCCACGTCGCACAACCTCCGCCCTTGCTGCAGGTGAGCGCCCGACCCTTGTCAGCCCTGCGAAGACCTCACCGATCGGCCACATCCTCACGATTTTGGTTTCAAATTTGTGTTCATCAATTTTGGTTTCTATTTTGTGTTCTTCGATCTTTGTTTCAATTTTGCTGGTCTAATCCATGTGCTTGCGGAGACGGTATTCCCCGATCTCGACGGCATCGGTGATTTTCATTTTGGGCGGCTGGATTTTAGCTTTCAACCGCTCGCGATTGGCTGTGCTTGGCGGTTATTTGGATTGCGGTTGGTGCTTTGAACTTGACGCGGGTTAGACTAAAGGGAGCGGGCGGAGGGCGGCGTTGACTGGAAGGCAGCCGGAGTTTGGGAGGCGGCGGGCAGCGGAGAAGGAGCGGTTTCCGACGACAGCGTTGATTGGAGAAGGGGAGGGAGAAAGAGACAGGGAGAAAGGGAGATATATAGTTTGGGGTGATGGCCGGTGGCGGGATGTTTGCGGCGGTGGCCAGATATTGGCGTTGACGGCCGGCGGCGGTGGCAGGATTCATCTCGACAACGGGGTTGTCTTGAGTGTTGGCAGTGTGTGTGAGAGTGTATGTGTGTGGGTGTCAAGGGGGGTGGGTGTCAAGGGGGTGAGGCCCACGTGACATGTGTGAAAGATAAAATATCTAATATTCTCTTTACTAGTGTATAATATTGACACATTTTTTACCGCTGGATTATCAAAACTAATGGTTCGTATTTTTATTTCTTTTACTAAGCACCATTCTCACTTAAACCCAACCTTATATATATATTAGTACAATACCCGTGTACTACACGGGTTGTTGAGAAAATTATGTTTAAAATTAAATAATAATAACAACAAAAANTGGATGTTAAATCGAAACTCATCAAAAGATGATTAATTGATATATTATATATATAAAAAATTAATAAATAAAAAAAATAATTAAATTTTTATTATATTTATAATCTTAGTTAGTAAATTTGTTAAATTTTTCAAAGAAATAGGAGGAAAAAAGAAAGGTGGAAAAAAATTATACCTTATAAACCACGTCTACAATAGAAAATGATATTAAAACATAACTAATGCTCTTAAAAGGACCATAAGTATACAATATGTTTATGTATATTCCAAACCTGTTACTTTTGGATTGGAAATAAATTAAAATTCATCCGAGTCAAACAACAAATCTTAAATATTTTCCACATAGATTCCTAAACATGCGACCTTGCCACGTAGGCTCAACACATTCGGGAATATATATAGAGGGGATATATGTATATATAAGGATTTGTTCAAATGATTCCACTTATTTAAAGTGAGTATGTGAGACTCAATCCTAGATATTAAATAGGGATCAAGATGTGGGGCTAAGATTTAAACTTTTATTTGTTTTATTTTAACTATTTAAATATTATTTAGACTATTTGATCATTGATCGTTGACTTTTGGCCTTGACCGTTGTCTTCCGGCGTTGACTGTAGTATACAATATGTATGAAGATAGCACATAGCAATATGCACTTGATATGAACTAAATATGCATTTGAACTGAATTGAATATACAATATTTATGAACTAAATGTGCACCAACAATATCAATTAAGTATGCATTATTTATAAACTAAATACACACTGCGGATGAACTAAATTTGTATTTTGCATGAACTAGATATTAAATAGGGAGCTCGTGGTTGTCGATGAGGAAGTCCGGGGGGGGTGTTCTCTAGCAGTGGTGGCGAATGAGAAGAAATATGAGGTGGCAGCGGTGTATGCATTCTCGAGCGGTGGTGAGTGACGCGATGGTTCTGATTGGTGGCTGGATATGGCACCGGTGGGGAGGTCTGGCATGGCCCATGCAGGCTGCCAGGTGTATGGGCGTGCGATTGATTGCATCGGGCTCGCCGGCAATCTCAGGCCTCCACACGATTAGTTTAATTACGAAATCGAGGGAGCACAACCTTGTGTAGAGCGTGTACGACGACAGAACCGTTGAGAGGTCGGCGACGAGTGTCTGGTATGTGCGTGTGTTCTTTGTGTGTGTGCGTGTGAGAGAGAGGGATAGATAAG